CTGTTGGATCCGTACATCTTCCAGGATGGGGACCCAAAGATGAGGAGTGCCAATACCTTAACACTCTTGAAGACATGGCCCGCAACCAGAATGAGTGGAAAAATTGTGTACAGTATTGTATTGATTCAAATGTTTAATACGTTGAACATTGAAATGACAAAAAAGAGAAAAATCAACGTGTAAAAAACAAACTAAAAATGTTTTGTTCTACTTTTTGTCAAAATGTTCCATTTTTCCTGCGGCATATTAGCCGAAGTGTGTTGCTCACCTTCAACTACTATGCCACAATGATTCTGACGCAATGACTGTCTCTTATGCGCTGATGTCCAAGGTTTTCTAGTGACAGTGTCTAGTTGCTAGACTGCTGAGATTACATGCACACATATCTGCTAAGTAATAAGGTTAAGGAGACATTACTCTTCGCTGAATTAGCGTATGGAGTAAGTCGGTCAGCAATGCATCCGCGGTAAGTACAAACTGTCCAGAATTTGCTAAAAAAGCTACAAACGCAATCAAGTTAACGAACATAACAACAATCCGCGTAAGCATCGAGTGCAAGTAAATAAATTATTCGGCTAGGTAGAAACCAAGTAAAGTGGGATGAAATTTATCTAGCTTAAAAAGACCTAGTTTAAGTGTAATTTGGTTTAGCCCAACTGCGATGAAGAGGCATCATGAATGCAACAGCAGCCTTAGCATGCGGCACATCTCATACACATATGATTGTCGGTATCCGGTTTAGGATTTGCTTGTCATTGTAGACAGCCACAGGACACTTGCGCCTAGAGAGAGACCATGGGTGGCTTGCGCTGCACCATCGACAGCACCAAGCACATACCCTATATCCAGTTTAACCAAGAAGGAATAAGACCGATAGACAAGTGAATGGGATCCAGGTTTAATAAATGGAGCAGGTCTACACTCCTTCACAGGCTAAAGCAAGCACACTGTATTTGGGGAATTAAGCATACACAAGTCGGTGAGTGGACCGTAGTCCGCTCCACAGATGAAACCATTCTTGCAGCCTAGCACTACCACGAAGACCGCGCATCCCGTCCTCTCCAGCAACCATACACTGTCTCCTGGTGCCAGTAATCGATGTGGAGGGTGTTGGACAGGTAGGCATTTTGTCAGCATTCACATTAAGCGCAGCTACAACAGGGATATCAAACAAACAACAGAATGTAAAGAAAAGCAAACACGCAAAATCAACACAGACTATGCATCAAAATAATAGAATGGAACAAATAAAATAAAATGGAATGAACTATATCCAGATTAAAAAGACCTAGTTTAAGTGTGAGTTGGCTTAGCCCAACTGCGGTGAACAAGCATCAATGGCAAACACAAGCACGCTATATTTGAGAATCAATCGCACACAAGGCGGTGGCTGATTGCATAGAACCACTCTTCGAGCCTAGCACAGCCACAAAGACCGCGCACCCTGTCCACTCCAGAAACGAGCAACGGTCTCCTAGAGTCAGTACAGACGAGGAATAAGGTAATAGACAGGTAGGCACCTTGTCAACATGCACATCAAGTGCAGCCACAACGAGGATGTCAAACGGCCAACCACTTGAAATAAGAAGAACAAATAAAATATCTCAAATAATGTATACGCAAACGCTGACATAATTATTTGCTAAATGAGCATATGAAATAAATGGGATGCAAAAAATCCGCGATAGATTCAAGAAGTCAGAAGATAAATTTTAAGCAAACGCCACAAACGCGAAAATGTTATGTAAGTTAACTACAACTAGCTTAAGCAACGCGTGCAACTTAATAGAAGAAAGTACAGGTAGATTTTAATTTAAGATAGGAATCAGGACTGAATAGCCGCACTGAAGATGTTGCCTAGTTTGGCAACGAAACGTCTGCAACCGAAATGCCCAGCTCGGAGAACAAGACAATCTTCTCAATATAGCAAACCCACCACCTGAAATAATAAGATTCAGCATGCAAGCACGCGGTTAGTAATTCGAATGCAGCGTACCTACTGAGGCTGCGCCGGTTCTGCCTACGTACTCTGTAGGACCAGTCGTTGCTTCGGTGGTGGCCCCGACTGGCCTCGCTCATGGCTCACTAGGCCTGCCAGACTCAGGCACTCGGGAGTGCATGCGCTAGATGTCGATGGAGCACAACCCATCAACGCTTGCCGCTTCTTCTTCGCCTGCGTGAGAATTTTTTCCTGCACTTCGGCAACTGCCTTCGTGATCAGATCGCGCCATGCATGCCGATCAGTCGCCTTCCATTCCCATAACCTGCAATCAACATTAGAACGTGATATGCCCCCTTTGATCATGTCCTTGTAACGAAGTATTGGTTTCCCCGCATGCCGCTTCCCCAGACTCAGCTGACCATGTAATAGCTGCTTCGGTATCCGCGTCGAATCCATACGGCACAGATAAAGGAGCCACCTCAGGTATCGCAGCAAGTATGCAGTCCACTGCACACATTGCACTTCGGCGCAACACTTCCGTGTCCGCAACTCTGTCGCACCAACCAATGCGCAGAACCAGTCGCAAACGGCTCGAGAAATCGCATATCCCGCCGGTATATCGTCTATCTTTCGCTGTTGTATAGGATAACGGACAGCACCGTAGATTTGCACACCATCAGCTTCGTGCAGACGGTAAGCTGATGGTTGTTCCACACTCAGTACTCATGCTTGCCGAATGTTGTCGCTATCTGCTATACGTGTATACGCAGCTCAGCGTGTAGTTGCTGGACAGTCGACACCACACTCCTAATGTAGCAGAAGTAGGAGGTAGTTTCCAATACTTCAACACCAATGCTGATTCGCGGCACCATTGTGTATCGCACATCCGGTGAAGGCTGAAAAGGACATATAGTTTTTCTTGTGTTGATGGTGAGCCCGAATTTGGACACTGTCGAGGACAGAGCACCATTCCTGTGCTTCAACCCACCTGCGCTATGTGCAAACAACATAGTGGACAGCGAACAGCAACATACGGATAGTTGTCCCATAGATAAGGGTTCTCGCACCGAAACGACGGATGTACAGCAACCCACCACCAATACGGTACTCCATACGAACACCGTAAGCACAAGCACCATCAAAAACACAAGACATCATGGCATCAAGATAACTATTGAGCAGGGCAAGAGCTAAGACAGCCTTGCTTTACACCAGAGAAAACTGCCAAGTCATCTGAGGTCCGTCCACTCAGCTGCACCCTCGCCCGCATCTCACTGTGCAGACATTCAAGTAAACTGACAAATTTACTCGGACAACCAAATTTATCCAACACCAGTCACAATGCTTTACGGTCCACCGTATCAAATGCTTTGGTGAAATCAACAAACAGCGAGTACAACGGCTGGTGTCGCTCTCTTCACTTCTCCTGCAACTGACGAGCCGAAAATACTATAACGACCGTGCTGAGACCCGAATGGAATCCACATTGCTCTTCCTTCACGTCTGGTTCCACAACCTGACTCACGAGGCGGTTTATGATGATGATGACTGGCTGTTGCTTAATATCCCCGGTGTGGTTGCGCTTGATGTGCATGTTGACAAGGTGCCTACCTGTCTATTACCCATACTGGCTCCAGAAGACAGTTGGTCGTTGCTGGAAGGGACAGGGTGCACTGTCCTTGTGGAAGTGCTAGGTTTCCATGCACTCAGTGTGGAGCGGACTACGGTCCAGCCACCGCCTTGTGTGCGCTTGATTCCCAAATACAGCGTGCGTGTGGTTGTCTGTGAAGGAGTGCGGGCCGACTCCGTTGATGAAACGTGCTCCCATCCGCATGCCTCCCGGTTTTATTCCTTCGGGTTTACACTGGATATGAGGTGTGGTTGGAGCTGTGGGTGGTGCAGCGCAAGTCACCACGTATGTATGTTCGGTGTCTATGGGACCCAAATCCCTAGGTGGGAGCGCTCTAATGTGCGTTGGTTACCTTTTCGTCGACCCCAATCAACACTCGAAGTTACCCGTGTCTGGTGGATCAATAACATGTGACTTAAGTGAAACTCAGACCAGATTGCGTGCGCGCAGTTCACGTACTCTACTGAGCCTTCGTAAAAGCATGAAAGGGAGCACTCTGGACGCAACGCACAGGAAGCTGAGCCCTCGGTAGTCGGTACAATCTGCTCGGTCACATTACTTGAAGATGAGTATGATGTCAACCAAACGCAAATAAAACGAGATGAATTCTGTAGCCCAAACGGCTGGATGCATAATCGATTAGGAAAGAGATGGTCCTCCATTTATGACGGTGAAAAACACAACAGCTAATGTGCAGCAGTACAAAAAGTAAGAGATACGAAAAGGTTACACGACAAAAATTAAAAAGTTGGCAATATAATGTTAAATATTGTATCACGCATTTCGTATGACATCAGGATTAGAGGGGGATGAACAAAGAAATTCAAAACACAAGGGCTCTTCGCCATATCAGCAAGTTTGTCCAACCAAACGTGTTCAGCATGCTTAGGACCCCAGCCAGGCAGTCGGGATGCACCAATTGAGGCCAACTTCGAAGTGAAGGTTTTCATCTCTCTCGACCAAATCATCCTTTGGCCTCCTCTCCTCTTTCAACCGCATCCCTGGCGCGCAAATAATGTACGTCGCGGGAGTCGGTATGTTGGCATGCGTAACACGTGACCCATTCATCTGAGCCTGGTGGGTGATAGAATGGTGCTGAGCGGTTCACTAGCTCTTCCTGCACCAAATACGTGACATCGAACACGATCATTGCTCACGCGGTGCTCCCACCAGACACGAGTCAAGTTGCGAAGGCAGCGATGGTTGAAGGTGACTACCCTCCTAATACCTGTCGGCCTGATGGGCCAGGTTTCATAAATGTATTAGAGGGTTGAACGGACGGCTGCGTTATAAACTCTGCCCTTCAGGGCGAGTGGTGTCGCGTCCGCGCCACAGGTGCCCGGTGGGCGCCAAGTCACTCTTCTGCGGGTGCACTAGCGAGAAAGAGACGAGCATCTTCACACAGGTGTAGCAACCACTCACCATTATCGCTACGGGAGTCTACACCCCGTTGGCAGCCCAGATGAAGCACTTCAGAGGACAATTGTACGACTTGTGCGTTGAGATCAACAGTAAGCACCACAGTATCCGTGCTTCTTCTGTAAAGAAGGAGATCGTTAAGTTGGTGATAGTAAAATCATCTTTCACCGAATCAGAGCTGCAGTTTGTGGGGGCGTAAGCTGTAATGACAAACAGGCACCATTTGTCCACTCGCGACTTTGAGACCTGGAACAAGCCAGCTAATCTAACGGCGCACATCCGGCTGTCGACAGGGATCCAGTCAATCAGGGCATCCTCAGTCCAGGGACTCAAAACAATGCCGACGCCAGTTTGACCTGCATTTGAAGCTGCGTCATCGCCAGACAGGCGCAATGTGAATGTGCTGCAAGTGTCGCATGTGGGGGGTCGCAGAGTACGCACAAAGCTCAAATGTTGCAGACGGGTTTCCGATAAACAGCAAATATCGATCGGGAGGGTCTCGAGTGTTCGGTCAAGTGTTGCCTGTTGGGCAATCTGTAGAGGCATGTCAGTCTAGCGAGGATCGAGAACTCCAAAGGGGAAACGGATGAACTGACATTGTCTGCTTGGTTGAACATGGACTTGATGACTGGAAGGGAGCGACGTCCAGCGATTGTGTGAGTTGAAACTAGAAGACAATCGACTATTCAAGCAAGGTGGGGAAGGGCCGAGAATGGAGGATTAAGAACACGGGGTTAAAAGTGAAGTGGTAACGGAACGACAAGGCGAGGGGAATAAGAAGACGGAAAGGCCTGAGCAGCAGCATACAAACCCCTAACCACCCTGCTCGATGCATCAGATAGCGCGCCGTTGGTTATACTGAGTAACGGCTATAGCATCAAGAGATTGTTAGAAGGAAAAGTCATGAAAATAGTGGAAGTAATTCATCAAAACAGGGAGCTTTCTGACGCCTCAAAAGCCGAAGGTAGTAGGAGACCTCATCTTCTGATGAAGCAGAGGTGCTTACACAACATGGAAGACCGTGGATACAATGTAGAAAATTAGATTCATGGTAACCAGTTTAACTCCCGGAAGTGAACTGACTACTGGTTAGTTCAGCGCACCTGTATGCCACCGGGCGAGTCCCCAGGTTGCAGATCGAGTAACGCCTTTCTTGTGAACATACCTGTGAATAATTCTCGGCTGTATATAGGTGAGGTGAACAGACAGTCGCAGACAATCAGCGGCAGCGTCAAAGAAAGTGGGAGGTTCTGCACTTGTCCCCTGGCTCCTCATTAAGTGCCATAAGAGCTCGTAAGACGTTGTGTTAAAGCCAATGTGACCGGCTATAGAATCACTGACTCTGTGCTGTGGCCAGGAGTGAGTACTCAATGGAGGGCGGATGAACTACCTCGGTGGTCACGGCATCTATGGGAGCGTGTACACCACCTGGCTGTCAACATCCTTCGCACTTGCCGGCGAGTTCGGTGGTCTAGGGAGTCCTGGCCCTTGTGTCGCTTCACTCGGGCTCTTCGGGCATCCTAGATAGCTTGTTTATACTCGAAAACCGTGTTATCCTCACGTAGATAGCCGGCTCCCAACGGTATGCGATATACGTCAATCACCTCGCTACCTTGCAGGTCAAGTATTTTATGACCCAAGGCTCTGGGTGGGGTCCCCTAAGTCAACTCCCTTCCTTGGCCTGGGCAACCGAGAAGCACCATACTCACACAACCCATGGAACCATGTCTCATCGATCCTTCACTCTCGCTCTCTGGAATTGCTCTCCTCAGTCGACGTACTGGCGGCCAAACCCGCCAAACCGCTTTCTACCGCATCACCGTTTAATCACTTCAATCCAGTTTATTCAACCCCACATTCTTGCTCTTCTCCCTCCGTTTCTGACTTAACAACATCGTGCTGCCCCGGGCGAACGTTCTCGCCATACGGATCAGGAACTTAGGTCCGAAGGTGCTGGCAAGCCATTTTTAGGGTCCCGTTCCTAATTCAAGCTAGCAAACTTCAAGGGTCGGATATTGACGTAGATCGGATCACAGGCAGTCCTTGCTCGCACGCTTGTGACTACGGCCGCTAATGTCTGCTGCCTCAGTGAGATCCGTTTACAGGACTCTAGAACGATGCTACAACTGGTTTCACCGTCTAGGTGTTCCTCTAGTGTTTTCACATTACGTCTATCTGAAGACAGCCTCCGAAGCCGCCAGTCATGTTGGCGTGGGTATTGCGTTGAGCACGCGCGCTGAAGCTGCGTTACTAGACTGGATCCCGATCAACAGTCGACTCTGTGCGATCCGACTTGAAACCCTAGTGCTACTGTCCAGGCGCAGAGCCAGCAAGCGTTCGTTCATTGTCGCAGCGTATGCTCCCACTGACTGTAGCCCGGAGTTAGCAAAGAACTACTTCCATGGTCAGCTGACCGACTTCTCCCGAAAAAGCGCCGCGCCGACCTTGTGGTGCTTGCCGGGGGTTTGAACGCGCAGGTCAGTAGACTTGAAGTTGGCGAACACGAACTCGCTGGTCAACTCGGTCATGTTATTCGTAAAACAGACAACGGTGATCGCGTAGTTCAGCTCTGCGTCGATCACGGCCTCTTTTTGTCAAGCGCCAGCTTTCTGGGATCATGACACAAACGCGTCATCTGAAGATTCCCATTACCTGCCCAGGCATGGACGCACATTGACTACGTCGTCCTCAGTTATTGCTGGTGGGGTTGCATACAGGATTGCAAATCAATCTGAAGTACCTATCTCATTTCGGTTCGCGCGTGCCAAGGTCACTTTGGTGGCTCCCAACAACGCCGCCGGAAACGGCTTGATGTGGCTAAGTTTTCTTCCCCGTTATCCCCTCATTTCACGATGCTTTGGCCTCAAATCTCACAAACGCCTCATGCTCTGATGTTGAAACGCACTGGGCACACATCCGCAGCGTCATGCACAACTGCGACCCTGGTCTGTGGTTTCACCAGTAGTCCTATCAACCACTGTATTTCTGCACGATCTCTCCAACTTTTCGAAGGTCGTCGGGCAATTCCAGCTGGCGTTGAGTACGATGCACTATGCAGGACCACTAACACTGAACTCAAACAGCTTCTCTAGAAGGATCGCGAGATTTTGTAGACGCAACCTGTTATTGGTATGAAGCAGACGACGAGCTCGGGGAATTTCCGAAAGCTTTTCCACCTGATCCGATCCACCGGCGACAGAAGGCTGACTGCAAGCGAAATTTTATGTGAAATCAATGGAATGTCAATCCACTGTCAAAAACGCCGACTTGAGCATTGGGCCGAAATTTCGAGCAGCAGTTTAACTGACCAGCAGCACCGATGTGTTCGCGTTGAGAAATCCAGAGTATTCCCCGGTGTGTAGACGCTTCACCACCATCTGAGGCTGAGGTTGCCCGAGCTTCGTTTCTTAAAGCGCTACAAAACCCATGGCCTAGATGAACTCCCTCTGGCTGTTTTCAAGGATGGAGAGTTCGAGAGTTAACTTCTCTCCCCCAAGACATTTGGACCACTGAAGCAATGCCGTCTGATTAGTCTGGCGAATCTCGTGCCCGACTTCCAGAAGGATACCAAATCAGACCGTGCTAACCGCAAAGGATATAGTCACATCTGCGTTGCATCTAAAGTGTTCGCTGCTTTGTTTTTATGGAGATTCATCATTGTACGCGAACCTAACTCTGACCGGAGTTGTATCGACCACATCTTTACACTACGCCAAATACTCGAGCGTCGTCAAAAGTTCAGCCAGGCACCGATCGTTTTCATCTTAGACATGAGAGCCGCGTTTGACTCAGTTGATCCCGGTGTTCTCCGGAGCTGTCTTTTGAGAATGGGAGTGCCTGAGAAATACACCAATATTCTTCGAGCCACCTACTCACGAAGGTCGGGCCGTGTGCAGGTGTACAGCGAGCTTGCGCACCCCTTTAGTATCACCGGTGGCGTGAGACAGGACTGCCCAGCATCACCCTTCCTGTTCGATTTCGCTATAGATGACATTCTGGAGAATTGCGGATCCAGAGGCGTCGAGTTGCTTCTGGAGAACTGACTTCGGGATTTGGAGTACGCAGACGACATGGCCGTAAGTTGCGATTCTTCACGTGCCGCCCAAAACAGGCTGTGCACGTTGGAGGTGTCTGCCTCCCAGTATGGAATGACTTTCGCTTACTCGAATGTAAAGTCCTTGTTCAAGACTGGCTAGGAGGTGCTCTCACTCTTACCCTTTCAGGACACTCTATGGAAGTGGTAAGCAAGTTCCTTAATCTAGAAAACTACATCAGGGCTAACGGTTTAACGGATGGGGTCACTTTGCGCGTGTTTAAAGCCCAGTTTGCGATTGCTAATCTCCATCATCTCTGGTGCCGCCGCGACCTGAGTCTACCCTTGAAAGACTGAGTCTACAATGCCATGACGAGAGCGGTCCTGCTCTACCGTTGTGAAACGGCCTGTCCGTGTAAAAGACGTTCAGAAGCTGTCTGTCTTTGATCACCGCTGCCTTCGGAGTACTGATGCGTGCGGTGGCAATACTACATTAGTAATGATGTTCTCCGAAGGATTTTCAGATCAGACAGACCATGCCGGCCGCTGAGTCGTGTAATTTCACTGCACAGGTTTTGGCGGCTTGGGACATACCTACTGAGCGTTTGCTTCACTGTACACTCTTCGCGAGCATAGAAGTCGGCTGGAAGCGTAGACGACGTGATCAGCGAATGACTTGGGCCAAAAGTATGAATGCGCTGACCTCACATTTGGCCGCGGTCGGGCGCTCTCGACTCCCTGGTTGGGAGCACAAGAAAAACGAGCACACATGGCTGGAAACCCTGTCGGACATGTCAAGAAACCATGACCAATGGCGCACCCGTCTTGAGACTCTACCTCCATAGCTGCTGTACTACACTTCAGTTTTAACCCCCTACATTCTTTCACTATGGTCGGATTATCTTTACCAATACGTGGCGTCTTGCTATTTGTACTGTTGGGCAAGTGTTCAATATGTATACCAGCTGAAATGCTATTCCAAATGCACTGTTCAATGCAGGAGCCGGCGGTAGTGATTGTGAATCGGCTCATCGCCGGTGTAGCACAGTACTTCATTTACAGTTAGTGTTGGATATAAGAGAAAAGTCTGCAAAATGTCCTCGAGAAGGCAACTTCTTCCATTTCGATGATACCTCGAGTCCACCAGGCTCCGCGATCTTCCCTGGTGAGCTGTTTAGGCTCGGTGTTCACAGCTCTGCGTAGTTACAGGAATTGTACGACGGTCTTTCATAAGTTCAATACTTTGAGCGGAAATCTGCAGGTTGATGATGTGCCTAGTGAACACACAGAGGAAATTAGCAGACTTGTGCCCTACATTCCGGATATGTGTCCAATGCGCCTGAACATCTGTGAGTGGAGGGCTCTTCAGAATAGAAGCCTGCGAATTCCGAAAGGCACCCAGATTATTTGGAGCGACAAGTCTGTCGCCGTCAAGTCATGTTTAGCGATGGTAATAAAACGCAGGACAATCCAATTACACACAAGCGCCTGCGCAGAAGTGGGACAAGTAATTTAATTTGATCTGCTGTCTGTTAAACAGCTTCGTCAACGGTAAGTGATGGCGATGCGGTCAGTCTGCGTTCCCGTCCGTGATCAACATATATGAGTAGCGGTCGATCGTCTTAACCCGTCCTGTAAGTACCGTGATCATGTAGACCACCGACAGTGTTCCTAAGCTTTGAGCCTACTAATCGGTGCGCTTAGATCCCTTGGGGCGATTCATACGGAGTGGGTCGGAGAGCTGACGGTAGAGCTCATGTTGAGCTGAGAGCGGGCTGCAATCGGTGGAAACATCCGTTGCGCCCAACAAACAGTGTTTGGTTGCCTCGCGGCTGCACAACTGTATGGGGATTTCTATCCGGATTAAATAAATAAATGGGTATAT